TTCTCTCCCCCTCAATTCTGACAATGACCTTCCCAGGTAGAGTATTCTTGGTTGGAAGTTTTTCCCTCGAGCACTTTGGAAAATATCCTGCCACTCTGTGGCCTGCCTAGTTTCTGCCGAAAACTCTCTGATAGTCTTACAGGGATCCCTTGTACACAAGGAGTTATTTTCTCTTGATGCTTTGAAGCTCCTCCTTATCTTTCAATTTTGACGTTTCACTTATAATGTGTCACAGTGTGGGTCTCCTTGGGTTCATGTTATTTGGGGCTCTCTAGGCTTCCCGGGCCTGGGTGTGTGTTTCCTTCCCCAGGTCGGGCACATTCTCGACCATTATTTTTTTTATAAGTTTTCCGTCCCTTTCTGGGGGACAGAAGTTTTCTTCTCCTTCTGGGACCCTTATTATGCAAACGTTGTTCCCCTTGATGTTGTTCCATAGGCCCCTTGAGCTGTCTTTACTTTTTCAAATTCTTTTTTCTTTTTGCTGCTCCATTTAAGAGTGGGCTCCCCTACCTTGTCTTCCAGTTGGCCAATGCTTTCTTCTGCTTCGTCCGCTCTGCTGTTGAAGTCCCTTGTGTATTTTTCAGTTCAGTTTTGTATTCGTCACTCTGTGACTTCTGTTTGGTACTTTCTCGTGTTTTCTCTCTGTTGAAGTTCTCTCTGTGTCCATCTGTTCTTCTTCTGAGATCAGTGGCCTGCTCTGTGACCGTGACTTTGAACTCTTTATCAGGTAAATTACCTGTCTCAGTTTCATGAAGGTTTTCTCCTGGAGTTTTATCTTGTTCTTGCATTGGGAGCATAATCCTCTGTTTCCTTATTTTGCTTGGCTGTGTTGGTTTCCACGTATCAGGGAAAGCAGCTCTCTCCCCCTCCTAAAGGAGTGGCTGCAGGACACCTGGGGGTGGCTTCCAGTCTGCTGTGTGGGCGGCGCCCTGGAGAGGTAGCCTGCCAGGGACTGTGTCTTGATTGTTTCAGTCCTGTGGGGCCCAGAACCGCAAGCCCCCTGGCCCACCAGAGCCAGGTGTCCGAGGGACGTCCCTCGTGTGGACCGTGCACAGCCACCGTCTCTGGTGGGGCCGTGGGGGGAGCGCCAAGGCAGAACAAGCCAAGCCTACCCGCCGGGTGTGGTGCGGCAGGGGCCACGGCCTCCCCTCACTTTTAACCCCCGGACGTCCGTAACCTGGGCCGTCCTCACACGATCACAAAAGCCTCCTTCTCTCCCAATCCTGCGACTTCCCCGGAGAAGTTCGCCCCACCCCCCATGCGGCCGGGGAAGTGGGACAAATGTGGGAAATAGGTTGGCATGGAGACCATTGTGTCACCCACAGGGTCCGGCCCAAGGCTCTGCTTATTTGGGGTGAGCTTACCTGGATGCTGAAGAATACAGCAGTCGCAGACCGCCCCCGCAAAGGCCACCACCTCGGGGTCTTGCCCTCCCCACTTGGGCCTGCGGCCCTGAGAGGCCGTGTGGCCGGCAAGCAGCCAGTGCTCAGGTGGTTATTGGCGGGTTTATGTTAGTTTCCAAAGGACCGGGGCGCCTGGTGCAGACATCATCAGAGGCCCGGAGCAGACGGAGCGGTCATGTATCGGTCCTTTTTCAGCCGCTTGGCACTGACTCAGTACCAGATTCTGTGTGGGGCTCTGGGACCCCCCCCGCCGAGGAAGGAAGCTAACCCTGGCCTGGCCTTGAGTGGTCGGAGGCCCATGGGTCCGTCAGACCTGTGAGGCTCCGTGGGAGGACGGGCCTCGGGGGAAGGCAATCCTCCAGCGACAGGAGGATTGCGGACACCCCTAGCCCCCACCAGGCTGGGGTCCAAACAAGCACCTTCCCCCAGCCTGAAGCTCTGGGTCTCCCCTGGCTGACCCCGGGACACGGTGCCACACCTGCGCCCTCAGGCCACACCACAGCTGCACAGCTGAGCCTGACAGAGACGGGGCCAGGCCAGAGCCACACCCAGAGCCTCCTGAAGGATGTAGGGAAAGACGGGGAACCGTCCCAGGCCTAGCCAGAGCCCTGGGGAAAGATGCAGAGCACGCGGTCTCATCCCGGCTGTGTGTCTCCCTCCCAGTGGACAGGTGGGTAGGTGCATAGGTGGATGGAGACGTGTCTAGACGGGCAGGTGGAGGGAGATGTGGATATACACGTAGATGGTGTAGGTATAGAGAGAGAGCGTGGCACTCAGGAAGACAGCGAGCCCAGTGTGTCCGCACGGCGTCTTGCCTCCAGGTCCCCGTAAAATGGGGGTAACGGGCGTGACTCCTAGGGTGGGAGTGCTCCCGGCGAGGCCAAGTGCGCGAGGAGCCCAGGCCCGGGCCTGGGACCTCCAGCATCTCCGGCTGAGGCTCCTGAGGGGCCCGCATAGCACCGCCTTGTCCTCTGCCCTGAGGATGCCCTGGCATTCCACAGAGCTCACTCCAGCATGATCAGCCTGCTCCTCAGGAGGTGCAGTGAGGTTTCTGGGTCGTGTGGGCCCCCCAGGTCCCCACACACCCCCCACCAGCAGCCTCCACTCTTGGACTTCTAGCCCGTCCATCGCAGGGGTCTAGGTGCTGTCACCAAGGACAAGAGATGCAGGACACTTGTGAGGAGCCTGGCCACAGCCATGGCTTAGCCTGGAGCAGGGGTGACAAGGACAGAGGCTGGGGAGGGGGATGGGTGGGCTAGCCTCGCCCTGCGGAGGCCACCGGGAGGGTGTGGGGAGGGAGCCTCTGGGAGCCTATCCTGCCCTGAGGGGCAGAGAGCTGAGTGTCCTCATGGCTTGAAAGCCAGAGGTCTCTGCTGGTGGGGTTCAGACCTGGAGGCTTCTAAGCCAGCTCCCCGTGGTGACATTTCCTGCTGAGGCAGGATTGCAGCGGGTTACGGTGCACATGGGGGTAAACGGAATAGCCGCATGCTTCTCCACTAAGCTGGGCCCACTGCAAAGAAGCCTCTGTTCGGGATAGGGGCCTTAGCCAAGCCCCTCACTCCCCACAGCTCTGAAGGGCCAGGCTTGGGGACCTCCACCCACCCGGCCCCTCCCTGGACCAGCAACTCTGGGGCATCTCCCCACCCCCGGCAGCTTGGCAGGGAAGAAGACCACTCAGTGAGCCCACCCAGCTCCAGGACATTCCCCCCTGGGGACCAAAGGGGATCCACTGTGCCTGTCTGTGCACAGCTGAGAGTCCCCTTTTTCCGAGTTAGGACCCAGAGTCTCACCTGTCTGTAGGCTCATTAGGCGTTCTCATCTTCCCCTCCCAGTGCCAAGCCCTGGCGGGAGTGGACAGTAGGTGCCTGGAGAAGGTCTGCTTTCCAGCTGTGTGGTCCTGGGCAAGTGGCGTAACCTCTCTATGCAAAACAGATAAAACCTCCTCCACCTGGTGAAGGGGGGCATCAGTGAGATCATGGGAGACGAGCGCGGGGTGTTCATCATCTCTCGAGAGGCGGGGAACGTGCCGCATAGCCACCTACAGCTCTTCTTCACCTGCTGCTTCGGGAGGGCCGGGGCAGAGGCGGGGGTGGGGGGGTAGGGGGTGTGCCCACCTGAGCCTTCCGGATTCAGTTATTTGAGGCTGCAGCTGACATTTCATTCCACAGCCCCAGTTATCTGTTTCCTAGGAAACAAATGAGAGACACTGACTCTCCAAACACATGCGCACACACACACGCACACACACACGCACACACGCACACCCCCTGGCTGCCACCGAGACTGACAATTAACAGAAATACAGTAAATGTCAGCAGAGGCTAAAAATAGTTCACGCGCCGCACCTCCGGCTGCTCCCTGCTCCGGGTGCACGGGGCAGGGGGAGGGACAGGGACGGCACCTCTCTGACACAATGCCACGCCCTGGCCCGGATGCGTCTCAGACCCGGGGACCTGCAGGCCCATCTCTGCACCCCGCCGCCTGCCTCTCTCCCACCTCCACCAGGATGAGACCCAGAGGCGCCACGGCTTGGGCCCCCAGCACTTGGCTGGCCCACGCTCTCTGCCTGCCTCCCTCTGCGTCCTGAGGCTGACACCCCCAACCCCCTCAGCAGCCTGGAGAGACACGGCCTAGGGGCACACAGTCTGCATAGCCCTCCCCCGCCCCACCCCGGCCCCCTAAAACCTGCCCCTTGTCCCGCCAATGCCCCGCCCCTCTCTAGAGCACCCCTGCCCCCTCGTCACTCAAGCCAGAAACCTGGGTGGTGTCCTCCCGGCTCGGTCCTCCCAGCCCATCCCCCTGCTGGGCACGGCCACCCGGACCCCGCCCACCTGCCTGCCTTGTCTCTGGCAACCCTATTCCGGCCGTCCAGCCCCCCCACCCCGAACACACCGGGGGCTCCAGACGTCTGTGCTGGCCCCACAGCCCTTTGTTCTCGCGTCCCTCACAGCTGTGAGCGTAGCTGACGGGGGTGCTCACGGGGCTACAGGCATCCTTCTAGGAGCTGAGGGGCGTTAACCTGGACAGTATAACAGGTGTGCGTCTCTTGTTGGCTGCTCTCCTTCCCAGGAGCCTAGGGGTCAGGCCCCGTGCTTGAGCCAGCTCCAGGTCACCTGCACCAACAGGGGTGCTTCCGGTGGGCGCTCCTCGGGGCCCTGACTTCCTGTTCCTTGCTTTTCCCCAGGACCAGAAGAGCGCTTGGTACATTTCTGTGGAGTGAATTACAGGCAAGCAGCACTCCGTTGGTACCCAATTCCCAAAGGGGATCCTCCTGCGGTGTTTTGTCTCTGCCTTCCTCCCAGCACACCTGATGGTTTAAAACTGGCTTTTTTGTGATTTGTTGACAAATCGGGCTTTGTGGGTTTTGCTTCCTTCCTACAATATCCTAAGTATAGGCTCTGTTCCATCGTACAAAGCCTGCCTTGATCAGGAGTTTGAAAATGCTAACTGGAATGGCATTCCCGTGATCACGAATAACAAATCTGCGCCTGGCTGACGTGGCCCCGAGCACTTCACAAACCAGCCAGACTGAAAGCTGCAGATGCTGCGGGTTCCACGGACACCCTGGTAATCAGAGATGTCTTCTTCTTGGTGCAGCATTATTTCACGGTCAACTTCAGCCACGAGAACCAGAAAGCCCTGGAGCTGAGGACAGAGGATGCCAAGGATTGTGATGAGTGGGTGGCAGCCATCGCTCACGCCAGGTATGTCCCACCCACCCCTGAGTCGCTGCAGAAGAGGCTGAACCCAAGGGCCCCACCGTGGCGCAAACCCAGGCCCAGAGGCGGTGGCGGGGGGGCGGGCTGGGGAGGGAGGAAGGGAAGGGAGAAGGAGAGCTCTGAGGAGGGCTCTTGGCTGGGGTCCCCTGGGAGCCCTGGAGCTCTGGGTCTGTGTCTCCCTTGGTGCCACCAGGAGAGGGAGACCTGAGGAGCAGCCTCCCACCTGCTTTAATGTACTGGCTCCTTCCTTCCCAGTGGGGGAGCTGAGCCCAATTCGGTTGGGGTCAAGGGTTTTATGGCTACCAAAGTCTAAGCCCGGGCTCCAATCCGGATGTAGCCTCTAATCAGCTGCATGACCATGAACAACAGCTCCTGTCTTTCCTCTGGGCCCGCTTCCTGTTCTATAGAGGGGAATCCTCTAAACCTCTCTGAGCTCAGGGATTCCAGACCCCCTCCTCATTCGCAGCAGTGTGTGCCCGCCACTGGAGGGGCCAGATGGAGAGAAAAGCAAAGGGCTCTCCATATATGCTGCAGAGAGAATGAGGCTCCACACTGGATTGAGTCTCTTGGGTCGTGGGGAAGTGACAGGCTTATGGGCTGGGTGTGGCTCCACAGCTGACGATCCCCTGGCAGAACAGGGTCCTGTCTGAGGACAGGGACCCCTAGAGTCACCCCTCTCAGCAGGTGATCTTTCTGGGTCAGCGGGGAGCGGTGTGCTTCTGTGTCTATCTGCCTTTTGGGTGTAAGGTCCTGAGTGCACAGACCAAGTCTGATTCTTTGCATCCCCAGGGCTTATAGAGGCATAAGCAAGTGGTCAGCGAATGTGGGCTGGAAGAATTTAAGGATGAATGAATGCATAGAGGATAGATGCAAGGTTTGATGTTGAATGGACGATGAATGGTGGATTAATGGAGGGTAGATGAATGATAAATGGATGTGTTTAAAATATGTGTGATGGTGGATGGATAGACAGGTAATGAATGATGCATGGATGGTGTGTGGGTGAGTGGATGGATGGATGGATGGATGGATGGATGGATGGATGGATGAATGGATGGATGGATGGATGGATGGATGGATGGATGGATGGATGAATGGATGGGTGGATGAATGGATGGATGGATGGATGGATGGATGGATGGATGGATGGATGGATGAATGGATGGGTGGATGAATGGATGGATGGATGGATGAATGGATAGATGGATGAATGGGTGGGTGGATGGATACCAGGGCCCTTCCTTGAGCCCTGGAACAAGCCAGCTGACCAAAAACCCTTTATTATGGCCATAACCTGACTGTGACCTTGAGGTCAGGCCATGCCCATTCCTGTCCTTGAGGAGTGTCTAGTCCAGGCATGGAGACCAGGTTCTCACACATGAACTTGTAAAGTCAGGCTCTGAGTGTGGTGCTGGGCAGATGGATGGTTGCAGGTGTTCCCCAGGGGTGTCACATCCAGTCAGGAAGACATTAGACATGTTCACAGTTAGCTCTGTTACACGAAGGCCCTGGTACGTACGAGGCGTCACGCGGAAGAGACATTACTTCCATTTGCGGGGAGATGAGGTAAGCTGAAAATAGGGTGACATTCGATCTAAGCCAGAAGACCAGGGGCATATTTAAGGGGTTTAACTATGAGCACTTCAGTGCCCAGCCCCACCCCAAGACACTGATGTAGGAGAGAGGCTTCCAGGAATAATGAAGACACCAAGTGTGGTTTTGTAAGGTGGAGTGTAACCAGGTCATAATGGGTCTTGAACACCCAGATGGGGTGTTTGGCCTTTACTCTGTGAACAGTGGGAGGTATTGAAGGTTTTATACCAGGGCAGTAACATGGTCAGAGCTACAGTCTTGAGCAGAAATTGTCGGCGTTGTGGAGGATGGATTCACATGGGAAGAACCCAGACCTGGGGAGAGCAGGTGGACCTCAGTCTCCCCGCACTAACCAAGAGCAGTGTTGTTTTGAGAACCAAATGAACCTGTTTATGCAGAGGGGCTTTCTACATGGTGAAGCGATACAGAGTTCTAATTGGTTGCACATTCTGAGAACCAGGACTACACTGATTTAGAAAATCCATTGATACGAAAATGTTTTACAGGCAGTGAGACACTACTGCGTATGGAGTCCAGCCCGGTGAAGGGTATGCAGACACAGCAGCAGAAGGTGGGCCGGGCTGGGCCCCCACAACGCACACACGCAGGCAGGAGCAGAAAATGGCTCAACCACTTCAGAAAATTGTTAGATAGTTGCTTACAAATTAGCAATTTAAAAATTGCTAGGCCTGCTCTGTGACCAGCAATTCCAACCTTTTGGTGTTTATCTGAGAGAAACAAAAAACGTCCACAACACGTCTTGTATACACATGTCCATTAGCTACTTTATGCACAGTAGTCCCCAGACTAGAATAGCCGAGGTGTCCATCCACAGACGGACGTGGAGACAAGCCCGGTAGGTCCATATGACAGACTACCGCTCAGCAATGGAAAGCAACCCGCCACAAACACGCGGAACACAACGGATCAACGTCAAAGTCAACGTGCCGGGGAAGGAGGGCCAGACACAAAAGAGGACCGGCTGTCTGATTCCAGTGACACGGAATTGTATAATAGGCGAAACTCACCTGTGGCGAAGGAATCTGAGCAGGAGTCGCTTGTGGGGTGGGGCTGGCTTGGACGGGTGTGAGAGAGCTTGCTGGGGTGACGGAACGTTCGTGTCCCAGGTGAGGTATGCATGGATCAAAACCTGTCAAACCGTGTGCTTAAGGCCTGTGCTTCCCATTCTGTGCGCATTAAACCTCGAATTTTAATGATTAGTTCTGCAGCCCCAAATCTCTGACCTCCCCCTTCCGTGACCCAGCAGAGAAAACTCCATCTTAGACGCTTCAAGTGGTTAGGTCAGGCCCACCGAGATCGTCTCCCCATCTTAAGGCCAGCTGCGTCTGTAACACCACCTGGCAGCAGAGTAGAAGCTGTCAGATCTGTGGTCCCGGGGATTCGGAGGGCTTGCACCCCAGCGTGGGAGAGGCCATCCGGGGCTGACTTACACGCTTCTGTATCGCTAGGGGGAAAGTGCAGACGCTGAGCCGTATGTAGCCTCAAGCCCAGCCCGTCGTGAGTGTGTGTGAGTGTGAGGTGCGTGCGTGTCAGGGGGGAGCCTGGCTCTGTTCCACAGCTCTGTTGAGCAGTGAGCAGTTTTGCCTGAACCTTATTTAGTTTCTACTTGGATTTATGTAATAGATACGTTGTACATGCAAAAGTAAGTTGTAGGGTCCACAGCGTGGTCTCTCGGTGCTGCGCGCCACCCATGCGTGCACCGTCCACCCCGCAGGGAGGGAGCTGTGGGCGCGAGCAGCCCCATGTCCTCGGGGACTGGAGCCCCGTTCTAGCTCCAGCTGCCGCGCTCACAGACTCTCGTTTGGGGCAAGTCTCGTCCCCTCTCGGGCCTCAGTTTCTCCAGGTATAAAATGAGACCGTGGGTCTTTCGTGGCTCCCAAGTTTCCTTCCAGCTCTGAGTCTCCAAAGACAGTGCTACCCAAAGAGGTGCTCAGCACCTCATTATTGGGGGTTGGGGACGGAAAAGGCCAGATCGGCTGCACGGGAGACCCTGCTCCACGCAGAGCGCCAGCGCCCACGACAAACGAACCAAGTCTCGGATTTCCACGCCCCTGGAGTGCAGAGAAGTGTGGCAGCATGAAGACAGACCCCGTCATATCTCTGCTGAGTTTCCTTTTCAAAGAGAATTGAGCCTCTTGGCAAGTGGGAGAAACTTGAAAACTTAATATTCTAGTTAACACTCATTTTTGTAAGGGAAGCAGAGTCCTCATCTTAAGCAAATAGTCCTGCCAAGCAGAGTCCTCTCGTACAGCCTTATTGATCTTTAGACGGATGGGAAAGCCAAGACCGAGCTTTGATTTCGGGATCAGGACCCTCCCCGGACATGTGTTCCAGGTCCACCGTGCGCCCCGCTCCCCCTGCCCCGTCTACCCGTCCCACCATGCCCTGCCGCCTTCAGGGCCGGCGGGAGTCAGCCTCCTCTGACCCCAGGCTTTCTCAGCCTCCCGGGGCCCCCCCGACCACCTCAGTGCAAGGCCATTCCCCACGTGCAGCCGCCTGGGCTCCCGTGTCATTTAGGGCTGAGAGCACGTGTGTGCGGGCCCTGAGCCGGTGACTGAAGCCAGCGTCGCTAGCCCAGCGCCCCACTGACCAGCTGCATCCAGGGCAGCTGAAAAGTCATGTAAGAAGACGCCAGACGGGAAAGTGTCCCCTCGATTGGGCATGTGGGGAGCCCACTGGTCACCCCGACAGGGGCCCCGCTCCTGTGGGCGCAGGTAGCCGCCCCGGGCTGCCCTGGGCTAGGAGCAAGTGGGGGCCGGACAGTGGGGACGATCGGTGAGGGCAGGCTGCTCTCTTCCACCTGCTGCACAGGTGGGAGAAGGGCTGGGTTTGTCCCTCACGTGGAGGGACTCGGGGGTCCCTATATGCCGAGGAGAGAGAGCCTGTGGGACAGGGGCCGCTGCTGACACAGAAGAAACGGACGTTCGGGGGTCCAGGGTGGGCCGAGCAGGGTGTCTGCCCTCTGACGGGAGGGGGGTCACAGGGTGGTGACCGTCCCACGCTGGCACAGCCCCCATTTCACGGATGAGCAAACTAAGGCTCCGTGGGAAGTCCCTGGGCTAATGGGTGTGCGAGGGAGCGAGGCCGGGCCTGGCAGGTAGACTGGGTCAGAGCACGGGGCCTCAACCAGAATCTGCACCCGCGGGGCAGGGGTGGCCGTGCCGGGGGGCTGGCGGGACCAGCAAAGGAGCATGAGGGTGACGCAGGCGGGCTGCAGGGCAGGCACAGGGCCACCCATGGGGCAGGGGGCGAGGCTGGAGCTGGGAAGTGGGCAGGGAGCTCCAGGGGCTGAGGTTGGAGGCCAGAAACTGGGAGCCGCTGCTGCAGAGAAGCAGAGGGTGGGAGGAAGCTGGGGCAGGTGCAGGGAGGGGAGGGGAGGCTGGGAGCCAGGGACGGGGGACCTTCCCTCTGCGGCCATGCCTGGCCTCCTGTACCGATGGGCCCTGCTGAGGCTTCCCTTGCAAAGCCCCTCGGCGCTCCTTTACAGAATGGTGTTTCCCCAGCTCTGACACCTTCCCACGGCCCTGCTCGTGCTGTGTGGTGTCGGGGAGAGCCCTGGCCCAGAACACAGGCGACCTGGCTCCACCCTCAGAGGCCTGGGTCCGGTGACCTTGGGCAGGGCACGGCTGGTCTTCGGCTCCCCCAGCCGGGACACGCTGCAAGTCTGAGGCCTGTTAACCTACACAAATGCTGGGCTACCTCTTCCACCCTCTGCTTATCCTATGGGGGGCCCTCTGACCTGGCCCCCCTAACCTTCCAGGCTTGTTGCCAGTCTCCCCCAACACAAGCCTCCCAGCCGAGGCTGCCCTGGCGTGGGCCTGTGCCCAGAGCCCTGGGTTTGGGATCAGAGACCTGGGCTGGGGGGCACCCCCAGAGTCTGGGTCGGAGAACACAGCATTGCGGCTAGAGCCCAAGCCCAGGAAAGACAGCAGGGGAGACAGGCTTCAGACAGAAGATCCACCCGTGCAAAGGCCCGGGGGCCTTGCTGGGGGAAGACGGTACCAGTGGGACCCAGAGGTTCAGGGCACAAGCCGGGAGTTGGGGAGGAGGCCCCGGGCACTGTGTGCAGCATTCGGGACCTCGGGAGTGCCGTCGGTGGGGGCGTCCCACTGGGGCTGGATCCTAGGGCTCAGGCAGGCAGCGTGTTAACCTGCGTGTCCATCTGTCCGCAGCTACCGGACTCTGGCCACGGAGCATGAGGCGCTGATGCAGAAGTACCTGCACCTGCTGCAGATCGTGGAGACAGAGAAGACGGTGGCCAAGCAGCTGCGGCGGCAGATCGAGGACGGGGAGACCGAGATCGAGCGGCTGAAGGCAGAGGTGACCGCCGGCCGCGTCCGGGCCCCAGACCGGCGCCTCACACCACCCCGGGCTCCTGGAGGGGCGGGGGCTGGGGGGCTTGTGACCAGCAGAGCAGGAAGGGCACATAGTCAGATCTGGGTTCAAATCCCACCTCTGCCCCCAAGCCCTGTGCCTCAGTTTCTTCGTCTGTAAGATGGGCTTTTTACCCTCACCCGGCAAGGTTGTGAGGATGGCGCAAGAGGAGAGGCGAGTCGCAGGCTGCCGTGCCGAGGGCCACGCGGACTAAGCATCCTGCATCACCAGCCAGCCCGGCAGGGGCGCAGGGGCGCCGGCTGGCCCACGTCACGGCAGCCCCTTCTCTCTGCTCTTCCGGGGCTCGCCGGGCGGCCGTCTGGGGACTGCGCTGTCACCAGGCTGAGCCTGCTGGGACCGTGATACTGAGCGCCGTCCATGAAGTGGTATCTCCTTAGAAATGCAGCGCCCAGGCCTCTGCACCCACCGTAGGCGGATCTGAGCCCTCGCCCCATGGCGCACGCGGCACCATCCGGCCACATCACACAAGAGCCGTGGGCTCTGCGCTGAGGAGGGGATGGGAGAGCACAGGTTCTGGCAGTCAGAGTCAGCTATGTAATTTCCAGGGCCCAATGCAAGGGGAGAACGCAAGGCTGCAGCCAGGAAGCCACCCCCCTCCCCACAGCCCCCCTCCCCAACCCATGGTGGGCAGGTGACCCCCAACTTCAACCTCCACCTCCCCCAACCTCTGCACCATGATGCACTTGGTACCCAGATTATGGGGTCACCCACCGAATGCAGCAGCTGCTGTCTCCCACGCCTCCCTGAGACCCCATGGATGCGTACTGGATGCCCCCCACCGCACCTACACTGAGGCTCCTGCAGATGGATTCCAGTGTCCCCCGCTGATGCCACCCAGCTGCTCCCGGACAGAGGGTAGCAGTGGTCGTGGGTCCCAGGGTGCCAGCGTGTGGGGAGTGGGCAGTCGAGAACCCGCCTCAGGGAGGCGGCAAGGGAGAGGTAGGAACACTGTGAGCTAAGGCTCCGAGACCCTGAGCTGTGCCCCACAGTCCCATCAGATGTCTCTTATAAAACAGAATTCAGAGGAAATTATTAAGAATTTCAAGATGGGAGCCACAGAGCTGGGAGCTCCAAGCACGGTCCCATCCCATGCTCCTGAAGCCAGGTCTGCCTGGAACGGTCAGATGGAAGGCATCGATCCCACCTTGTTGCTCCATCACGAGGCTGCAGTGTCCCCTTGGGAGTTCTGGTTAGCATACCTTCCCCAGTCCTGCATCGGGCACCTCAGACAGGCCGCCTCCGTCCGCCCATGAGCATCCTGAGGGGATGCGGGCTCAGAGACCGCAAGCCACCTGCCCGAGCACACACAGCTGGGCTGGCTGTCCACTTGTCAGTCTTTCCACTCTGCTCGGAGCCTCTTCCCACATGGCTCCAGGATGCGAGCTTGTCCCGTCTCTAAGCCACCTGGTTCATTCTGGAATCAGAACCATCCCGGAGACCACCCCCCCCCCCGGGGTCCCCCCCCCCCCCCCCCACATCCCCCAGTCCAGGCTGCACCCCGTGAGGAACCAGAGGCCCGACCCCAGTCCCCCATTATTAGCGTTATGAGCAAGGCGGTCCGGGTGCCACTCACTCGCTCACTGCAATCCCCTGACCGCTGCCCACAGCCTCATCCCCTTCCCCATAACTCCCGAGTCTCAAGGGGCTCCAGCCAGTGCCCGGAGCCGTGAGCCTTGCGCCCTGCACCCTTGTCATCCCATCTTCCTGCCTCGTGGAGTCCCAGCAGGTCCAATGCCTCCTCCCAGGCCCCCCGCCCCAGCCAGGAGAACGCTCACTGCCCCTGCTCCGTTCCCACACCCCACCTGCCTCAGCAGAGCCGGCTCCATGCCTGTCCACCGCCCCACCGGCCCGGCGGGGGCTCCTGGAGGGCCAGGCTGCCCTTTCTCACTCGCTCCTTATGCCTGGCGCGTAGTAGGTGCTGAGAGAATACATGGGCGTAACGCTCTGAGCTGGGTCCTGGAGCGATGGAAGTGTCTCCCGCTGGGTCTGACTGGGGAACGATGACATCAGCATGTCACAGAGCTTGTGGTGTGAACCCAAGCAGAAGTGAGTTCTTTTATGGGCAGAGAGGGTATGGGTTCACGTGGCATGTGGCCTTGGAGGGTTTCAGGGATCTGTGCATGAGAGCAGGGGTGGGTGCCAAGGGGGAGTTCTGTGTCGCTGGGGGACAGAAGCAGGTCAGTAGTGGGTGTGCGTGCGTGCGTGTGTGCGCGCATGTGTGTGCGTGCGTGTGTGCGCGTGTATGTCAGATGGCAGCAGAAGCCACCTTGGTGGGAATGTGGAGCAATGCTTCCAACTGAGTGCATCGCCCTCCAGGGCAAAAGATCCCTTTCAAGAAGACTTTGAAAGAAAGGCCATCTTAGTCAGGCTTTCGGGCTGTAGTCTCTGTGTCACACACACATCCTGCAGGGCAGGTGGACACAGCCTGTTCCCAGGAAGTAGGCCGTGAGGGATGCAGGAGGCCTTGGAACGGGACCCTGGAGGGATCTGAAGACGCTGAGGTCCACAGCAAAGGGAGGGACTTATCCAAGGTTGCTCCAAGGTCACCTGAGTGATGGAGTCCCAGCTCTCGGACTTGGGTCTCCTGGCTCCAGATCCTTGGCCCATGCCTACCCCCTGAGGAGCCAGGTCTGATGAAAGGAGGCGTATCTGCCGACCACAGTGTCACCTCGATGGCCCCAAGCCCCCACGACCCACCGGTCCCCCGCTAGCCAGACACAGTTGCTCAGGCCTGTCCCCGAGGACGTGCAGGGACTCGCCTTCTCCTGCCCTCCCCCCACACTGCTCCGTACCCCGCCGGTGGTCAGCTCACGCATCTGTCAGGGTGACCCGACTCCCGTGCCAGTCACCACCCCCATATCGCAGGGGCTTCAAGCAGCAAGGGTTGCTTCCTCCCTCACACGGGGTGTCCACTGGGGGTCCTGCTCCCAAACGCTCACTCGGAGTCAGGGACACAGCCAACAGGGCCCCCGGCTCACACGCAGGGAAGGGAACTGTGAGCAATGCCCGCACCTCCGCTCACGCTTCCATGGACACAGCGCGTCACAAGCCCAGGCCCGCCGTCCCGGGGCTGAGAAGCACAGTCCTGCCTCATCCATCCGTGGAGGAGAACCAGAGTCTGCAGAAGCCCTAACGGCCAACCGACTGTGCCTCCCCCTTCCATCCCCAAGCCCCCAACACGGGCTATCGTGCGGAACATGGAACAGACTTCCCGAAAGGTGTGGACACAGCAGAGGAGTGGCTTCCATAGCTGAGTCAGAAACCAGCTTACACACAGGAGACGCCCCCGCCCTCACGTCCCCTGGCCCTTCCTGGCGGGGGGATATCTCACCAGGATCCCCATACATACACAGCGTGGTGCTCGGGAGCTGGCTCCTAGTGGCCTGCAGGAACCTGCCGTCTAACCTTCAGGAGTTCTGCAGGCTGATTACTCCATTTGTGGGAGTTGGACGTGGACTGTTTCCACCATGAACTCGGCAGGTGCTGCCAGTCGGGGTCTTTCCTTCAGAGAGCCGATCCTTAAGCATTTCACGGTTTCCTTTCCTTCGGGCCCAGTTACATAATTTGCAGGGCTTGGGGCACAAGGAAGACCCAGGGCCCTCAGAACGTCCGGGCGGCGGCAGCCAAGCCCTCAGCCAAACCTGGGCCCTTGCGGGTCTGGGGCTCTGCGCAGGTCCCGCTCCCGGTCCTGAGCCCTGTCTCTGCACCCTGCAGCCCCGCGGCCACCTCTCTCCAGGAACACACGAGATTGCGCCCCGACGGAAGTCTGCAGCGCACCGTGCACCCCTGCTCTCTGGCTCGCCCGGCCACCCCCTGCCAGGTCCCGTCTTTCGTCCACGCAGCTGAGGACCTGCTAAAGCAAAGGGGCATCCACCTCTGAGAAGAAGCATCCACTCCGGGCACCCCACTTGGCAGCATTTCACTGTTTCAGCAGCGATCTTTCTCCCGTTGATGGTCAGAGGGGAGTGTGGAGCGGTGAAGCAGGCCCTGCAGGGCAGGGTAGGAGCTTAGACACAGTCCTAATACTTTATTGGCTTGAAGCACCCCGAGTCCCAGAGGCCTGGCTCTGGAAGGACCCTCGAGGTCTTCAGTGCAGGGTTTGGATCAGTCTTGCAAACAGAGCTTGCCGTGGATCCCCAGCACGGAAGACAGGGCGGCGAGGAGACCGCTCTGGGGAACGTGGGAGAGCACAGCCGACCCCGCAGTCTGCACCGGGGCGCACCTCCACGCCTGGAGGCTTGTCTCCCGTGTCCCCTGCTGCCTTCGCACACCACACCCTGCGTGCCCCGTGGCTCTGTTCACAGCATCCCCTCCACTGGAAGTCCTCTGTCCCATAGCCCTCCTGTTGGACTGCTATTCATCCTTCAGAACCTCTTCTGGATGGCCCTTGCTGCTTCCCTGGCGAGACCCCCCCCCCCCCCCCACTGCAGGGGCCGCACGCCTGTTCTGGCCTTGTCCTGTTGGGTTGACTCCCCTCTTAGGCTGGGAGCTCCTCCAGGGAGGGACCTGGCTTCTCCACCTCCAGCTGCATCTTGCCAGAGCCCAGCACAGAGACGCTACCAGGATATGCGGACAAGGTCGGCCCAGGAGGACAGAGATGGGCACCTGGATGCCTTGCAAGAAGCCAGAGGGGATCGAGCAGGAAGGAGAGGGTGCTGGGTCATGTGTCAGCTCCTTAAAGAGCAAGAAGTATGGGGTCTTTAGCAAAACCTTGGCTGCTAACAAAAAAACACCTGGATGAATTCACCGTCAGCTGCTGTACTAAATGCATTCTGGATCGGAGACACCATCTTGGGGCTGGTGGGCAGCCAGCCAGGGGGGCAGGCAGGAGCCCAAGTGTCAGCTCTCTGGGGCTGTCATTGACGAGGGCCAACCGAGCAGCCCCTGGGTACCAGCCTAGCAAACCGGGTCCAAAGCAAATACCCCCCAGAGGGGACCAGCCAGGTTTCGAGAAAGGTTGCCAGTGGGAGCTCCGTGGGGCTGGGGTTCCCGCCACCTCCCAATGCCCACTCCTGGCGGGGAGGAGCCACGGCCCACGATCTCTGCAGGGTCCCCGGGCTCACGGCACTCCAGAGTTTGCCCACCCAGCCCACTCCTTAAGTAAAGACTCCAGGGCTTGCCAGCACTGCCTGAACCTGGAGCATATTACATCTATTTTTCACCCTGGCCCTGCTGAGGAGTTGTCCTGGAGTGCCTCTGCCTGAGAAGAGCGCCATCAGTTTTAGACACAGGCTACTTACACACATACACGTGCATCGCCATTGTGAAGAGAGGAGGGGTAGGGTGTGCAAAGCTGCGGCGGAGAAGTGATAACATCAGGCCAGGTGTGGGGCGCTGGCCGGGCATCCCCGCGTTTCTGAGCTAAGAGCCTGCATGTGCACACGTGTGTGTCTGTGTGCGCACGTGTGTGTCCCTCTCGAGCACAGATCAAAGAGTCAGCCTGTATGTCGACGTGCAGATGTTCTCAGAGAATTGAAAAAGGCCCTGGGAGGGGGGCGGGGCAGGGACGACGGTGGAAGAAGAGCCGCGCCGCCCTGAATGTGGCTCAGTTATTTTCAGTCACTCTGCAAGCATTGCTGGGGTAATTTTAGCAACCAGGGGAGTGGAGAGCGGGTAACCGTTCCATTTTGCTTTCAAAATGTTCAATTGTGAGAGCCCATTCACTCTGCGGTTCAAGTGGCCTTGAGGGGACAGAGCCCTGTGCTATGAGGAGGGAGCTGGCTTCGTGGCCATGTTTGGAGGCTCCCCGAGCTACCATCTTCAGTCTGTGGGGCCGAGTGGCGGCCGCGTGCTCCCGGGGGTGAGCTCTGTGTTGTTGCTATTGCTCCGATTCTCCGGAATTCGCTTCCCTATGTCATGATGCGGTGTGTGCCAAGCACCCAGCCGCACGCGACGCACCAGGAGCAGGTGGATGGGAGCAAGCAAGAAGCGCCAGCTAGGAGCGGCGGGCAGAACGCGCCCCGGCCGTCCACTCGAGGAGGCCCAGGGGTCTGCCACCGTGTGGCCTGGGGCCCCCCTTCTCCTGGGCACCGCCCCTTGGTTCTGTCCTTGCAGCTGTGCTGGACTCCTATCCCCACCTCAGGCTCCTGGAGGCCTTCTAGGGCAGACAGGCGTTCCTTCCCAGGGCTGGCCCGTGTTTCTAGGCCAGCAGTGTCCACAGGGGGGTCCTGGGCAGAGAAGGGTTTCAGGGCAGCCCAGGGGGTGGGGGGCAGCCAGGCGCCAGCAGGAAAACACCGCTTTTCTCTGATTCCAGCACAGCTTTGTCTGAAAAAATAAGGGGACCGCCCAAGTGTCCATTTACAGATGAAGGGATTGCAAAATAGGGTACGTAAGTACCACGGGAAATTACTCAGGCTTAACAAGGACGGTGTTCTGACACCTGCGGCAGGATGGGTGGACCTGGAGAGCGTTACTTACAGCAGACGAATCGGCCGGTCACAGAAGGACGGATTCTGTAGGATTTCAGTCCTGTGAGGATGGAGAGGAGTCAAGTTCATAGTCAGAAGGTTGATGGGGGGCTGGGCGTGGGGGGCGGTGGGGAAACGCTGTTTCATGGGGCCCGAGTTTCAGTGTGGTCTGATGGAAAGTTCTGGAGATGGATGGTGGGTACGGCTGCAGAACGGCCTGCACGTACTTTAATGCCTCTCAACTGTACCCCTGAAATGGCTTAAAATGGTTAAGTTTGATGTTATTTTGCCACAGTAAAAATTAAAAATAAAGGGGCTGATGGTTTGGGGCGTGGGAAGGACAATCACAGATTAAAGGCAAAGCCCCCAGATTACACCAGGGTGCCCGCTGCCCAGAGCCCGGGTGCCAGGGCTCCCAGTCCAGTGCTCCCTCACCGTCTGGCTCCACAGCCTCCCACAGAGCGGGGGACACGCGCCAAAGGCCCCCTGGGGGAGGTGACAGGGCACTCGCTCACCACTGGGATCGGCATCCCTGTTACAGATCGCGTCCCTGCTCAAGGACAATGAGCGCATCCAGTCCACCCAGACCGTCACCCCCAACGATGAGGACAGCGACATCAAGAAGATCAAGAAGGTCTGTACCAGCCCTCCTAGAGAGCCTCCTGGCACTGTCACCCCTGTCCCCCCGCCCCCAGGGCAGGCGGCCCCCCAATTCAGCCTGAGACAGGACCCCTGAACAGCACTGGTCAAGTGGGTTCTCCGGGCTGTCCCTGGGGGTAGTGGCCCCCCCCATTTTATGCGTAGAACAGGCTCCAAAGCAGAAGGAATCCAGGCTGCAGGCTCCAGCTGCAAGCGTTTCTCATATAATGGGGGCAACCTCCTAAGGCCCCCCTGGCCCCCTCACCACTGCCACACCCCCTCCCCCCTGCCACACCCCCTTCCCCCGGCCCCCTTCCCACTGCAACACCCCCCTGGCCCCCTCCTCAAGCAGACCCTTCCTCTCACAGCTGCCCCCTCTAGTCCCCTGCCCACCTCGGCATGGGAACCCATGGACCCCAGAGCTGCCCCTGCTGGTTTGCTCCATGAAAGTCCAGAGGTGGTAGAAGGCCCTGGGAATCCGCCTGGTGGCTGGGGTGCCAACCAGCACTGTGGGCCAGCCAAGGGCGGCAGGTGCACAGGGAAGCATGTGTGCCTGTGCAAGCTGTCAGACCTGAAGCTGGGGAGCCTGAGTCACCCTAAGACAGACCGGTGAAACCGGAGAATCCTGCATGTGGAGCGGACAGAAAGCCCCCGACGCCCCCAGACCAGAAACTGCACACGGGCGTCCTCCCGGGCCAAGTTCAGCCTCCCGGCGTGTCTGGGGTTCTGAGCCCACACAGTGTGTTTTTTTTTCTTTTTAATTTGTTGCCAGTGCTTTAAAAGCTAAACACTTCACATAAAAATCTAGATTTTGTTTCTCAAAAATAGAAATAGCTAACATTCATTAAGCACTTTCTATGTGTCTGACACTATTCTAGGAGCTTTATGCAGATTAATTCATTCCTCACTGAAAACCCTCTGGGGTTTCATTATTATCTGCATTTCACGCACGGGGAGGCTGAGGTGCAGAGAGTCAAAGGCACTTGCCCAGGTCACACAGCTCAGCGTTTGCTCGCGACGTTTCGACCCCAGCCAAGCTCCAGAGCACACGTCCTGTGTTCCCCGGACACAGATCCTCCTGGAAAACACAAGGTCGCCCAGCCCGGGGCCCACCTGCCACACAAGCCCCATTTGTCCCAGCGGCCGGCCTCCTGCATCTGGAGGACCTGCCAGACCCCCACGGGCCTCGGGGCTCGTCACCAGGTCCTAGCCAAGCCCCACGCCAGCAGGGGCATGCTGGCCTCCCTCTGTGCTGTGACTCCCCTGAGCTGCTCGGCCCATTTTGAGAAGCCCTTCTGGTTGGAACATTTTTTTTTAATATTTTATTTATTTATTTGTCAAAGAGAGAGAGCACAAGCAGGGGGAGCGGGAGAGGGAGAAGCAGGGTCCCCGCTGAGCAGGGAGCCCGACGCGGGGTTCGATCCCAGGACCCTGGGATCATGACCCAAGCTGAAGGCAGACATCCAACCGGCTGAGCCCCCCCAGGTACCCCTGGTTGGAACATTTTAAGTACCAGCTGAAATCCTCCTCCCTCCCTCGATTTTCACCCTCCTGGGCCTCAGGCAAGCCCTCCCTGGTGGAGAGAGCCTCCCTGTTTTGGAAGAGAGTGGTCTGGGCTCAGGGCCGACCCCGTCTGTAAGGTAGACGGCCCCAGCCACAGATCCGAAGCCCACCGACTGAACTTGCTGCTGGTACCCCTTGCAGCTGAGACTGACGAGCATCTGTGCCTGGTCCTCAGCAGGCAACCCCGGGACCCCCCGCCCAGGCTCCATCCCGGCCGCAAGAGCCGCAGTGAGCTCTGTGTGGCTGGGAATCGAGGTCCTTGCCCGAGTTCTTGCGAACACGCAGCTGTGCCAAGCAGCCCGACTCCAAGATCAAGTATCAGCGTCCATTCCCCCACGGAGGCAGGAGGAGAGGTTCCAGGCAGAAGCGCTGATGAGGCTCCAAGCATGGGATTAACTCATTTGCCATGTTCTGTTCAATTGGATAATCGCCCTCTCTCCAGATGAGCATTCATGGAAACTTCTGGGCTTTCAGGCCAGTCATTAGCCGAGATGAGATGGGCCCAGCATGGCCTGGCAGGTCCCTGTCCTCCGGCCCCCTCCCATAATGCAAGCCCGGGCCACCCTTTTCCTCCTTCAGAGAACGCTTCTACAGCCCCCCAGGGGTCTTGTTAGGATGCAGAGGTCCGGGGCGGGCCCTGGAATTTCAGCAAGCTCCCCGACCGCACTGGAGCCCGGGGGCCCCCTCGTGAGCCCCGTCTGCAGATGGGGGACTGGCTCAGAGCGACCAGGCGACTCGCCCAGGACCTCGCAGCCTGGCCCTCGGCCGGGCTGTCCCCCGCACGCCCAGCCTGCGGAGCGGGCAGGGGTGACAAAGCCCGGTCCCTACCCCGGGGGCAGTGCAGCTGACGGAGCCCCCCCACCCCTGCCCGGTCCCACAGGTGCAGAGCTTCCTACGGGGCTGGTTATGTCGGCGCAAGTGGAAGACCATCATCCAGGACTACATCCGCTCACCCCACGCCGACAGCATGCGCAAGAGGAACCAGGTGGTGTTCAGCATGCTGGAGGCCGAGGCCGAATACGTGCAGCAGCTGCACATCCTGGTCAACAATTTCCTGCGCCCGCTGCGGATGGCAGCCAGCTCCAAGAAGCCCCCCATCACACACGATGACGTCAGCAGCATCTTCCTGAACAGGTGAGCTCCCCCAGAGGCAGGCCCACCTCGGGCGCTCGGCCACGGCGGGATGGAGACCGCCTGGCGCCGCTGAGCAAACGGCCCCCACGGCATGGAAGCCGCCCGAGCCACATGGCTCCAAGCCACCCCCCCCCCCGCAAGTGTGGGTGCCGCATAGCGGGTAGAGGTGCCCCACTGGGGCGTCGTGTCCCCCAGGGCAGGCCCGGCATGTCTGGAGACGCATCTGATGGCCAGAACCTGGCTGGGCTTGGGGGTGCTGTGGGCCGCGAGGGGGCCGAGGCCAGGGCTGCTGGAAACCCTGGCGGGGCACAGACTGGCCCCCCAACAGAGGCTCATGGCTCCCGCCGTGTTAGTGCTGACGCTGAGAAGCCACGGTGGAAGTGTTCCGAGTTTTAAATCCGGCCCCGGAACGCTGACTGTGCTCCGTCCTACCCTGATGGGGCCGCAAGGACCTACACGCCAGGCTCTGTGCCGCACGGTCCACCTGCCCTGCAGACGCACACCGTTCCCAAATGGCGACTCTGGTGTCACTGTGGGGCTCGTGCTGCCCCAGAAGGCCGAGCTAGCAGCAGCCCTTCGGCTGTCGACCTCTCTTTAAAAGGGTTTCTTAAGAAATGGTTTAAATAGATGACCTTTTCGGTGGGTGTTAAAATTGGGTGAACGGATGTGAAAACACATAACCAGAGTGCAATGTGTGAGCAACCCCCCCCCCAGGAATTAGGGTGGGCCACCATGTACCCCGAGATGTTCCTTCGGCTGTGATCCTGCCAAAATGCGCCTCACTCAGCCGCTTCACTCATCCTAACCAGCCCTCACCCAGGCCTGCCCCATGGTGGTCAGGACACAGGGGGTGCCGGGTGTGAGGGGCCTGTGGGGCGGCCCGGAGGTGATGGAGAGGTGCAGATGTCGGTCAGGGGTCCGGCTAGAGAGGCCCAGAGTCATTGGGATGGGCAGGCTTGAGGCCGTGGGTGTGGACGCTGCACCAGGGTCGGGGCAGGAAAGAGACGGACAGACAGGGCGGGGAACAGCCTTTGACCTCATAAGACCTTCTAGAAATTAAACCACCCGGCCTTACAAGGTTGCTGCTTAATATACATGTTGAACAGAATTTTTAAGTATTACGTAAATGCCCTTATTTCCTAAAACCAAGAAAATCAATTACCTTTTTGTGAAATCGGGTAACACGTACCCCAGAAACTGCAGTGGGGTCTTTCCGACGCGGTGACAGGATGCATCCCTTCCTGAGTGCCCCGGGCGGTACAGCAGGGTCCACAGATGCGCACACGTGAGCGCAGGAGCGGGGACCCACCCTGTGCTTCTCTGTTGGGAGGTCTGAGGTGGAGCCGGGGAACTCCATCTCCCACAGGTGCCGCGGCCACGGGTCACGGACTGCACCTGCAGGCAGCCCCCTGCCCGGAGGCTCGGCGCGGCTGACCCTTGGACAGCTCAGGGGTGAGGGGTGCACGCTCGGAAATCCACGTATAGCTTTGGGCTCCCCGAAACTTAACCACGGGTAGCCTTACTGATGACATAAGTCAGTCAACACATGATCTGCTCTTTAAATGGTTTATAGACCGTAACTCACAATAAAGCTAGAGAGGAGAAAACAGTGCTCAGAAAATCACAAGGAAAATACATTTTTGGCACCGTACTGTATTTATCAATGAAACCCGTGGGTAACGGGCCACGGGGTCCGAACCCCGGCCATTCGGGGGTCGGCTGAGCTGCGGGAGGCATTGATACCCTTCTGTGCTGCACCTGGTTCTCGCATCTTTAGGCCACGATTGCAAGCCTTCGGTGACTGCTTGTCACAACCACTAAGAAACGTGTGCTTTTGTATTTCTTTAATCTTTCCAAGCTTTTGTTATTCTTCATGGATCTTTCATGGAATTCTTTTATCCTGGAGTCTTCAGTTAAGAGTTTTTAGGCCGGCTCCCCACCTTTGCTCAAAAGTTGTTGGAAAAAATAGCCCATGGTTTTTATCTTTCAACGAGTGCGTGATCAGGTTGGAGGCCTTTGCCTGAGGATAAACAGGAGGGAGGAAGCCCCCTCCTCCTGGCGCCAGGCTCCTCGCCCTTGTGGTCTCACTGATCTTGGTCCAAACAGCGGCAGCCTGATCAGTTCTCACGGCTTCCAGGAACGTACTTGCCTCTTACAGGGGTCGGAGAATCCAGTGAGGGGTTCATACACAGCATCTCGCACCGAGCTATGTGTCCAGTGCTCCGTGGGAGCGAGACATTAACCTAACAGTCACGCCCCCGGTGATGCACCTGCCGGGAACGGAATCCACATCTAATGGGAGGGGACGCTTCCCTCCTCCTCTGTGAGGCCAGCATCACTCCAGCATCCAAAGCAAAGTCTGTCTCCTATTGGATCTCGTAGATACAGAACATTACCAGGTTGGATCCAGAAATGCATCATGAGTAAATGAAATTTACCCCAAGAATGCAGGGCTGGCTCAACGTAGAGAAGCAATCAATGTATTCCACTGTTTTTCTTACTGTTTTAAGTAAGAGAACCCAGTGAGCGTATCCGGGGATGCATGTCCTATGGGGCCGGCTCCCTCTTCACCCTGGCCCTGATCTCCCATGGGAACAGGCTAGAGTTCTTTCCTTCCCCGTGGGGCCAGGCTGGGGGAGGAATGACCTAGGAGTGGCTGCCTTGTGATCATTAGCAGCTCACTGGATGGTCCATGGGGTACAGCATGACCTTCACCATCCGTCCTCTGTGCCCTCGTGAGCACAAGGGGTCACGCTTCCCTTGCCCTCATGACAACCCCAGGCAGCACTTGGCGGGAGTGAACATTCTGGGTGACTCTCACCACATTACGGTGGTGCTTCGTGGAACCTGCTTTGCACCTGCATGCTTTCCAGTCCTCAGCAACGCCCCATGAGGCTGGAGCTCAGAGAGGTTGCAGGGTGTGCTCAAGGGCACACAGCAATTGTGTGCTGCAGTTTTAGCCCAGCCCTGTTTATGTTAAGCTCTGTACTCCCCACTGCCCTGCTCAGTAGCAGGCTGGGATCCTGTCCCCAACCCTGCCCCCCTGCTCCTCCTCCCCCTGCTCATGGTCGCGAGGGTCTGGAGGTGCACTCCACCTCACCCCTGCACCGCTGGAGAGCCTTCCCTTGCACATGAGCCCCACTGTGGAGGCAGCACCCGGGACGCAGGCAGACCGCCTGGCGCTCCCTGCCTCCGACCACAGAGGCTGCTGCCTCACTTACGGAAGAGACTCCTGCACATGGCTTTCTGCCGGATTTGCTTTTAGGCTGAGAGGTCCGGCCCCGTTGGAAACCTGATGCTAACTTGGTAGTTGCTGGAGCTGGGGAAGGACTCTCTCCTGGCTGGCGGATTCCTGGAGGCTGCTACAGGGCGGGGAGGGGTTCACGGTGTGCTCCCCCAGTAGGGGAAGAAAGATTTTCTGAGTAAACCTGTGCAGGAGGTTTGGGTTAGCCCGGACAAGAAGCTCGCACACTGGGGCTATTTCCTTGCCATGGAAACCACGCCCGGCCCCCCTGCGCTGGGCACCACAGGCGTTGCCTGCGACCAGAGGCATCCTGCCCCAGGGAAGGGGGGGGCCCAGGTGGCTTGTACATCGATGCCCGCTCTGACGGGCAGTGGCCACCCGCCGTTCTGGGTTGAGTGGGATGGTGAGACCGGGGACGGGGGGCAGGGCGGTGTGCCACCAGGGATTAGTCGTGTCTGCATGGGAGGGGCGATGGGTAATGGGCTGTGTGGATGGGCAGAGGGTGGGGCAGGAGTGGAGGGGCCAGGCTCTGCCCGCCTACTCTGGCCTGCCCGTGGGTGAGTCATGCCCCTTTCTGGACTCAGGGGGCACCAGGCAGAATGAGCACGTCCCAGGTGTGTTCTGCAGACAGGTCACTGCCTCTCCCTCGAATGTTCTTCCCACCCTACCGTCCTTGACAGGTGTCTCCTACTCTGTCTTCACGTCTTCCCTTGGCTGTCATGTCCTTGGCCACCCCGATGTCCCTTGCCACCATTAGCTTATGTCCCTGCTTAAGTGTTCCCAGGGCCTGCTGCTTCCCTTTGTGGTACCCATCACATTTAAATAACGACTTACTCTGTGTCTGGGTCCTGCTTGCTGTGGGTGGGTCAGGGCCATCATGTACACAGCTACACCAGGTACGCACAATTCAGGGTCACTATTCACACGGGCCGGCGGTCAGCACAGGTTTTCTGTAGAGCGCCAGATGGGAGACATTTTAGACCTTGTGTGCCATGCAGTCTATGAAGAAAGTAAGTGATCACAGGCAATCTATGAATGAACGCAGGTGGTGTGCTCTGATAAATCTTCACTTATGGATGCTAAAATATGAATGTCACATATGTTCACGTACTATGAAATATTCTTTTGTTTTTTTCCAAACAGTTTAAAAATGTAAAAATCTTTCTGAGCTTGCAGGCTGTACAAAAACAGGGAGTGGACCAGCACCTTGGATGGAAAGATTTTGTGTCATAGAGTTGCCGTGTTCACCCAAAATATTCTATAAATGTAACATAATTCCAACCAAAGTGCAGCATAGCAAAGTGATCTTGAGGTTCAACTGAAGGCATAAATACATATAAGTAGGTAACAGTGTTTCCAGATAAGAACAATGAAAGAAACATGCCCAACTTTACCTTCATGTAAAAATGAAGCAATAAAATAAAACAGGTGTGTATGCAATCCATACACACTCAGAAGCAGAAGACAGAAAGAAATGATATGCCTCACAAAGCAAAATGTAAAAACTTCCAAAAAATTAAAATAGCAAACACACAATCAGTGGGCAGATAGCTGGCAAAAATGTCTACAACATGTATGTTAGGTTATGTGCTTAATATGTAGAGTTATTTAAAATTAAGAAGAGACAAAATAGTAATTGGACATGGCTAGGGAATTCACAAAAGAAGGAATTCAGATGGCCAGTACATAAATGTTCAAAGAACATAACAATGATTTTTTTAAAAAATCAAATCAAAATAAGATCATTTTATTTTCCTATGAGATGGGTGACAATGGTAGCTTCTAAGTAGTAAAGTTACAGGTGAAATTCTCTCAGTTTGTACTTTAAAAATGGAGGCTTCATCAACTGTGTTTTTTATAGTCCTAGCTTATGATGTTCCTAACATGCTACTACAGTGGCCTGTGCAGTGTTGGAATTTAAGAAGGTTCATTTCCTCCCTAATGCATCCTGAGCAGGTGTCGCCTGGAGGCACCCCTGAATGTTGCTGGGGCTGTGCTCAGGGTAGTCCAGAGCTGCCCGGCTCCCTCAAGAACCCTGAAAGTCCCCCAACCCGAATCTCCCCATCTCAGATCAGATATTCTTCCCTTTGTGCATTCTCACACACACTTAGGTCACTCAGTCTCTTGCTTCTGAACTGTCCAAGTGGTCTTCACACGTGGCCGGCCACAGTTCTCGGGATTGGTATGCGTTTGTTCACTCAACAGACTAGTTAGGGGCCACAGAGAGACAGAAACCAGCCTTGTCAAAAGTCACTCTATAGGGGACCTGCTGCCTAAAATTGAAAATGACTTCAGCCATTTGGGGTGGCCCTGGTCAGGGAATCAGTGTGTCACCACACCTGGGGGTGGCCCTGGTCAGGGAATCAGTGTGTCACCACACCTGGGGGACCATTCTCACGGGACTTCAGGGAGAAGACAGTCGAGTCTCCATAATGACAGGACCCACGCTCAGAGTGGAGCTCACGTTTCCTCTACTTGGAATCTCCATGTTCTCTCTGGTGCCATGTTTTCCTTCCATCCTGTACGTCTGGCGGATGTGACCAAGTTACTGACTGTACTGTTCAGCCTGGAGGTGTCATCTGTGTGTGTCTCTCTCCCCGACTCTCCCCTCAGCCTTCCCCTCTTCTCCCCCTGAGGTCTCGGGGGAGACCCCATGCTCTGCTGCCCACAGGCCCGTGCCCCCCTGCGCCTTCCACCCCCGCCCGGCCTTGTGGTTCTGAGGCAGTTAGGCCCCCTGGGGACACACGGTGCTGGGAGAGGGGACCGCCCAGGGGGTGGGGGGAGGGTGTGTGAGCAGAGAGCAGAGGCTCAGGCGGCCCCAACCCCTCCTCTAGGAGTCTCACTTTTCCTGCCCAAGAACAGGGTGCACGACCTTAGCGTCCTTTTGGACTCCTCGGTCTGGTTCAAGGCGAGCCCCAGGTCTCCAGGGCGGTAGGAGCTGGGGTGGTGAGCAGTAGCAGAGGAGGATCGGCTGGCAGGGAGGGGGCTGCCAGAGGAAGAGGGAGCCTCTCCCCCGCAGAGACAGAAATCCCCTTGTCCTCGGAGGAGGACGAGCTGTCTGTTCTGGGGCCGGCTGCCTGGGGAGCGCACATTCCCCGAGCACTCTCAGCGGTGACAAAGCCGGTGCTGGGGGGACACTGGCTCTTTTGCTTCCCTAACTTGTCCCAAAAGGGTGGTGGAGAGCTAGGTTTACTGAGCACCCACTATGCACTGGGCGCTGACATCATCCCATTGCTTGCAGGGGTTACCTCATTTCACCTCCCTATTTAGTGCAGAAAGATCTGAGGTTCAGAGAGGTTAGGCAGCTTGCTTAAGGCCACACAGCCTGGGACGGGGTGTAGGCTAAGTGCAGCCCTGTGGGTCTGAGGCCACAGCCCTATATGCACGTTATCAGCGGCCTTTACTCCTTATTCTCCAGAGCCCTGGGCTCCTCTGGGGTTCCCCAGGGTCGCTCCCAGATGGAGAGAACTTGGGGGGCACAGGGAGAGGCTGGCGGCCCTGGCCTAGGGAGCCTTGCTTGGGGCCATCTTGGAATTCTCCAGCAATTCTTTTTTTTTTTTTTTTAAGATTATATTTACTTATTTGACAGAGAGAGACAGCGAGAGAGGGAACACAAGCAGGGGGAGTGGGAGAGGGAGAAGCAGGCTTCCCTCGGAGCAGGGAGCCTGATGCGGGGCTCAATCCCAGGACCCTGGGACCATGACCTGAGCCAAAGGTAGATGCTTAACGACTGAGCCACCCAGGTGCCCTTTCTCCACCAATTCTTAACAAGGGGTCCTGCATACTCGACCAGCACTGGACCCCACGAGCTGTACAGGCTTTCACTGGGGAGTCCGTGGAGGAAGCGGCTTGCTGCTGGCTCGGGGCCGGGGACACCCTGGAGGGGCAGGAGCTCCCTGGGGCGCAGCTCACCCTGTGCTTTCCCTGCAGCGAGACCATCATGTTCCTGCACCAGATCTTCTACCAAGGCCTGAAGGCCCGCATCTCCAGCTGGCCCACCCTGGTCCTGGGTGAGTAGCCGCCGCCCCCCCCGGACGTCCCTCTCCAGGGCCACCCTCCAGGCTGGTGGCACTCCCCTCACAAGCCCCCCGAATCCCTCAGGGGGAGAAGGGGAAACACGTGTTGGCAAAAACCATATTTCTAGGAGGAAGCGATATATTTATAGTTACTTATCTACTTTTCCCTCTTAAAAATAATATCGACGTACCCGTTTGAGAAAATTTGAGAATCCAGAAAAGTAGAAGGGTTTAAAAATATCAGTCATCGCCCTCCCTCCAAAGATAACTGCCATAAACATCTCAGTGTGTTTTCTTCCAGTTCTTTTCTCTGCATAGATCTTGGGTTGTTGTTTTTTTTTTCCCATTTTACATAGTTGCAAACATACTGAATTTAGATTTTGAATCTTGCTGTGGGTTGTTTTTTTATTTATTTCAATCTTTTTACTTAACTTCATAGCACAAGTGTTTTGTTATCCTGGACGTGTGCTTTTTGATGGCAGTGTAATGCTCCACTGCCCGTCACTGGCTTTTTGGAGTTGGTCCCACTTCTTGTTACTGGAAATAATCATCTATGTGTGTGATTTTCTCCTTCTTACGGAGCATTTCCCTGGGATAGGTTTCCAGAAGGAGAATTTCTAGAATAAAGAGCTTCTCTACCCTTAGGCCATGGAGGCCTCTGAGTGGGTGGACACTTTTTTGCTGTTGTCTTCAAGTCATTGACCCCCACTTTCCCCAAGGTCAGAATTCAAGCGGCCCTGGAAAGACAGGGCTGCCCCTACGGCCGAAGCCCAGTTGAGCACGCTGTCCCCTGGCAGGGGACAACCCTACCCAGGAGCTCCCGCTCCGAGTCTGTTTTTCTTTCTTAACGGGGTTTGTAAGCCGTGCTCCGTGGGTCCACCCCACCCATCAAGTGTTGAAGGGCAAGTTTGGAGAGAATGGTTGGGCCCTGGGGGGCTGGAAGGGCAGGAGGACCCTGGGGCTGCACAGCTGGGGAGGTCGGGAAGGAGGGGCAGATGGCTGGAGGGCCAAACTCAGGAGGGTGTGTAGTATGGTGGGAAGCCTGGAATGGGGAGTCAGGAGACCTGGTTCCTAGCCCCTGCAGACTCACCTTGTGACCTTGGTCATTACCTCTGTCACAGATGGGACACTCTGGGAGGGAGGCCTCTTGGGGGCCCTCCGTGTGACCCAATGAGGGAGTCAGAGCAGGGGGGCCACAACACAGTTACGACGGGGGCGTCATTGGACCCCTCAGAAGCTCCGGAGCTGGGCCGGCCCCTCAGAGGTGTCGCGGACTGAGGCAGGGGGCCGGCCTTTACACCCCGACCTGGGCCGGTCACTGGGTAGGGTGTGGCCTGTGCCGGAGGCAGCCTCCCTCGGCGGAGAGCGGTTCCTGGCAGGAAGGACCCAGATGGGGAGCCCACGGGGAGCGCCCGCATCCTGGAGGGGCCCTCTGAGACACGGGGTCCAGACTGGACGGGCCGTCTCTACAGATGTGATTCTGCTGGGGCTCGCGCGTCTGGTCCTGGAGGAGGCAGGGGTGCCGGAGTCCTCCCCCCGCACCGCGGGGCTCCCTGGGGCGGAGCTCCCTGGGGCGATTCCTCCCCGGGGCGGGGCTTCCCGTGTGGGCGGGGCTCCGGGGGGCGCGGCTCCCGCGTGGGGCGGGGTCGGAGGCTGGCCGCCGGGTGGGGCAGCCGCGCCAGCCCCCGCTGAGCGCCCCCCCACCCCGCGCCCTTGCAGCGGACCTGTTCGACATCCTGCTGCCCATGCTGAACATCTACCAGGAGTTCGTCCGCAACCACCAGTACAGCCTGCAGATCCTGGCGCACTGCAAGCAGAACCGCGACTTCGACAAGCTGCTGAAGCACTACGAGGCCAAGCCCGACTGCGAGGAGCGCACCCTGGAGACCTTCCTCACCTACCCCATGTTCCAGGTGGCGCCCCGCCCCGCCCGGTCCAGGCCGCGTGCTGGGGGCCGCGGGGAGCAGGAGGGGGAGGCCGGCCTCCTGCGCCGAGGAGCGCCCCTGGTCCTGAGCCCAAGCCCGCCCTGCTTCCTGCGGCCCCCAGCCTCCAGCTGCTCCGGGGCTCTGGTCCCAGACCGGCCCCAGCCAGACTCAGAGGGCGCCCGTTTCCCTGCTCGGTCCAGTCCCTGGGGTCCTCCCAGCTGACGGCCATTCTCTGCCTCCCCCTCTCTCTTGCTGTCCTTCTGTGCTGCTGCTCTGTCCCTCCCTGCCCCCGTCCCACTGTCTCCATCCCTCCTCTGTCCCTCCGTCTGTCTCCATCC